TCTTCTTGCTTAGACTGCTGGTGATTTCTGAACAAACCTGAGAAGACAAAACATAGATGTCACCCAGCATACTAAACAACAAATTCGCATTCCCGTCAATATATGGTTGACACAGAATCAGAGGAGTCAGTCAATTTTCTCCTTTTCGAGTGAAGATGCTGAAACTGAAAAAGAAAAAAAATAGGTTTAAGTTGAAGAGCAGATTGAAGTAATTCATACGTACAGCACGTATTGGGCACCTGAATAGCAAATTGCACAATTCAAAACAAACACTGTAGCATATTACGGATCAATGTCAGTATCTAGGTAACTGCACACCTACCCCTCAGTATCTGAGTAACAATCTACCCCTATAACCTGACATAAACCCTACCTTGTTGTCAATTGTCGGGTTAGGGGAGGGGTACTGACCAGTGATCCCATATTACTGTAGCATTTCAATTAACTTCCCTTTCATTTTCGAAGCCTTTTCGTTCTTCTACTCCGGGTTTTATTGTGTTATGTTCCTGTTTAAGACCTTTAGAACTCTCTCCCATAACACTGACCATTCAAGCCAGTTGGATAATATACATGAGATTAGGTTCAACCAATGGAATGCTGAGCAAATCTTGTAAATAAACTGTTCTCCCTTGCGAAAGGAATTTGTTTTCATGGTCTATTATTTTATTACTAAGTACCACTTAGGACTAGTCTGAAGAGGCAGCCGCATCCTCGCCCTAATCACCATTAGAGCGCTCAGCTTCGGGGATTGGGGCGAGATGACGACTGACACTTCAGACTATTCACTGACCGCAAAGGAAAATATCAAATAGTCAACTATTGTTATGTCTCCTTTTACGAAGGAGAGGTGTGTGGGGGATAGCTCAACTCAGTGAGCAGAAATGAAGAGAAGTGACAAACTCACATTCTTGATATCCCAGATTCCTCACGTCTTGACACTCTCCTGGGTGACGTGTTGTTACTCGAGTAACCGTATGCTTCATCCTCAGTATACCTTGAAATTGGAGGGAAAAAACGTCTAAGTTAACATATTATCACTTTAACTATAATCGATTGTGAAGACATGAATATCGTATATTTGAACTGCGGATTAATACGTGAAGATAAAAAAAAGATCTCGACAGTGATAAACAGCACATTAAGCAGTGATGCGAACCTACAAAATGATTGGCACCCATATGGCTTTTTAGCTCATTTGCTAGAGCGCCGCCCCGATAACGCAGAAGTCATGAGTTTAACTCCCGAAGAAGCCTGATTTTTTTCTTTTTTTTTTAGCTGCTTTGATTTTCACTATTGCTTACGTAATGTTCATCACTGCGAAGATCACTCTAATTTCACTTCAACTATGATGGCTCAATGTTAGATCGTCGTTTGTCGTGGACTTGTGCACGCCATTAATAATGATATGCACAAAAATAAATGAAAATAATTATGGAGAAATTTAAAAAATGGTCAGCGAAAAGTAATACTGTTACCAGTCCATGATAATTGACTTCTCACGACATAAATTTTAACGATATTTGACAACCTGGCTATTGTCAGAAATGAAGGTATAAATTTTGCGTGATATGCTTTACCCCACAAAAGGCGTCAATAAAAGTTTCTTTTTTCTCTCCAAGCTTTCTTGAGAATTACACATTTACACCACCGTTGTAAAATGCGTTGATTCCCATTGACATTGCATCATGCGGAAGTGTGTGAAGTAAACTCTAGGAATATTTTCAGTGTAGTAGTCAGATTACTAAACAACGCGACAAAACTTTTTCCAGTCATGAGGGTCTCTTACCCAGGTTTGTATATTTTCAGCTCATCCTGCAGCGCAAACACCTGTTCTTTCAACTTGTTCCTTTCTGTTAAAACTTCCAGCATCTCTGCTTTTGTGTAACGTGGTCTGTTTGGATCTTTATTACCGGTTTCTGCTCGTGTCTGACTCTCTCTCTTTTCCGTACCTCCATCCTTCGACTTCTCTCCGTTGAGCACTTTCTTCGACGATCGACCAACAATTTCCCATCCATCATCTCCAGTCCCTTCCTTGTCATCATCAATTTGTTTTATGAGCACTTCCTTTTCTTTCCTTTCAACTTGCACTTCCGGGTCCGTTTTATCCTCAGCAACTTTCGTTTCATTATTATTATATTCGTCTACGTTTTCTCCACCTTCTTCCTCAACTTTAAGCCGCGGTGGTTTGGGAGGAGGGTTTTTTGTGCTGATTTCTACGGTTCCAGAATTTTCGTCGGAATTTTTCACTGTATCCTCAGCTAAAGCTTCCCCTTCTTTATCGTCCTCTGCGCCATGATTTTCGAGCGGTTGTTTACCGTAGCTGTTCATAAATTGTTCCACACTCTCAGCATCTCCGTTCTCGTCACTCTCTGCCAGAGGTTCGGCCCTGAGTCTAAGTGCCCGCAACTCAGTTTGAAGCTCTGCTTTCTCCCTCGCCAAATCGTGTATTCGGTCTTTACTGGCGCCCAGGGTTTTTCTGACACTCTCGTTAATGTTAGTCAGCCGTACGATTTGTTCCTCTACCTATAAGAAACGAATTCGGTGCTAGTAATAATCTCTCAGCTTAGATAAAAAGGATAACCTCCCCCGACCGAAGGAAAGTGTGTATAGAATGGAACTGACGCTAAGAACATGGCCAAGAAACGCCCCGAAACAAATTGCTATGGGCCAAGTTGTTCGAAGGCCGATTGCGCTGACCCAGGGTAAAATATTAATCCAGGTTTCTTTATTTCTCTATTTAAGAGCCTTTTTCAGAAAAATTTCTCTTTTGTTTTTAAGCATCCAATAATCAAATTTGAGACAAAAAGAATTGAAATGAATTTTCTTTTAAAACTGTCGGATATATCACCGAACTCCCTCCATCGACATCCTGTAAAAATGTTCACCTGCAGATGTAACACACCTTGAAGAGTTCTGCAGTTTTGCAGCTCATTCGAGGAAAAGCTAAGAAGGATTAACCGACATTTCAGGTCGTCGATACCTTATCGAAAATTCAACGTCTGCCAACGCCACAAGGGCGTTTGTGGGATTTTCCAGAAAGGCACGTCCTTCGCTAACGTCCCACTAGTATTAAGGGTCACACTTGACCACGGTTTTGAATTTGAAAAAGAGAAAGACGATAAGTACATAAACAATTTTACCGCCGCGTCGGGCACGAAATTTTAACAACTTAAATGCGCTTTGTCAGACTTTATACCGAGTAAGAGATGCAAGCAGCTTCTGATGGCGTGATAATCGCACCAAGATTCCTCGTTTTTCGACTAGATAATTTCTCGAATGTCCTCGGAAATTTATAAAGTAGCCCCGACCTCGTCGAGTCTCAACTCGAGCCTCGATTCATACAGTCAACAAGAGTCGAGATTCAAGGATCGAGTTTCGAGGGAATGTACGTCCGACTGTGATTTAACTACAAATTATCCGTTTTCTTGACAAAGAGGGAGAGTTACAGACACTTTTCCTGTCCCCACCTAATCTGGAACTCTAATGCGTGACTTCTTAGTCATCTCCTCATTTCATTTACGTGACTCGCGTGAGCCTGCCAACTACGAGAGCTTACAAGTCACGCGGGTCACGCAAGGTGCATAAGATGTTACGTACCGCATCAAGGTCCGTTCTTAAGCTGTCAATCTCCTTGTTTTTACTTCGTATGGAGTCTCTCTGGTTATCAATCGTCTTTTTCATCTTTTCCATCAGTTCTGCGTCGCCAGGTGCGCTTATGTACGCCGTTGCTGTAAACATAAATAATTCATTATTCAAAATATTTATGACAGAAAGAAGTCATTTAACTTCTAGGGAATCTAGCTAGAAAACCATTGCTGCTTAATCCTGTTTAAGATTAACTTGAAGTTATTATTGCTGTAAATAATATTTACATTTCAAGTGATTATAGGGATGCGAACGCTTTTATTGGTTGAGTACTATTATCACCAATGTAACGTGATAACAATATCAAATACCACCTTTGATCCCTGCACCATTTCTTGATAGTTCTGACGATGAAAAAATTTGAATTAAAAGGAAATGCAGGTACTCTGACCTGACAAATCACTCTCTTCAGACTAAGAAAAGCTTCTTCCATCGCCCCCTTAAGTTTGTCTCTGGAAATTCTGAGTAAAGCTCACTTCATATAATTCAAGGCTAACCATTGAAACAAATATATCAAATAAACAACTATGAACTTGGCTAATCACTGTCAGTCAGCATACCAAAGGTATCACTCATCACTGTGAACTTGAAGCCTGGAAACCATTGAAAAAAAAGGTTGAAGAGCCCCAAGTGGACTCCACATCTAGTCAACTTTATCTTCACAATTCAGAAGAGTTCCTACATACCCTGAAAAGCTCATCATATTCATCATCAAGAGAGTTTATCCTAATCTCGTTATTCT